CACATGAAAAATGTGATCTCATAATTTGTATTTCTTTTTTTAAAGAGTGAAGTTAGGTACCTTTTCATATTATATTTTCTTTCTTTTTTTGGTGGGGTAAACTGTCAGTTCCTACCCTTTGACTACTAAGCTGTCTTTTTATTGTGTGTTAAGGAGACTTGCAAATGTTAAAGAGCCTTGCAAATATTTCTTCCCAAGTCTGATATTTCTCTTTGATGGTTTCCCTTTGTTTGGTCAAATCAATACTCTGTGTGTGTGTGTGTGTGTGTGTGTGTTCTAACCCTCAAACTACCAAGTTACGCTTTTGTTTATGAGAGAGAGAGAGAGAGACAGAGAGAGAGAGAGAGAGAGAGAGACAGAGACAGAGAGAGAGAGAGACAGACAGAGACAGAGACAGAGAGAGACAGAGACAGAGAGAAACAGAGAGACAGAGACTGACTTAGTTAGGCCTTCTCCATTCTAAATTCTTATCTAAAATAAAAATCCGACCAATTATTCTAGAATCTGCTTCCACTACTGTCTTACTCCAAATTCTCTAAATAGAATCGACAGTGGCTTCCCAGACATCTAGAATCGAACTCCTTACCATGGCCTACCAGGCAGCAACTGAGCCCATAACTGGGCCCCTGCCTCATCTCATACATTCCTTCCCTCTCTCACTATGCACACTAGCCACACCAGTCTTTCTTCTGTTCTTTGAAACAAGTGCTTTCCCACCCTCTGACCTTTCACACACGCTCTTCTCTATGCCTGGAATGCTCTTACCACTTTGCTACAGCTGTCTCATTTTTGCCTTTTTTGGTCTCAGTTTAAATATCACCTAGCCATAGAGGACTTCCTTGACCACCTTTTCTAAGAGGTTCTCATGTCATTCTCTGTATGAGACCTTTGTTTCATTCATATGAACTTCCATAATCAACATTATTTTCTTTTTCTGTCATCCCACTAGATGATAAGGTCCATGAGATCAGAAATCAGTGGAGACCATGCCTGTCTGTCTCGCCACTCTATCTCCAAAGCTGAACAAAGTACTGGAAACAAAATAGACATGCAATAAACAGATTGAATGAATTATTTTCAGAATTCAGTTTAGTGAGGAAAATTATAACCATGGAGGTAAGTTCTTAAATAGAGGAATGTATACAGTGTAATGGGAATACAGAGGTCAGAGCCACCAATCTGTCTGAGGCAATTATGGAAGGCTTCATGAGGAGGTAATGTTTAAGCTGAAAGTCCTGATAGAAAATGGTATTTCGGGTAGAGGGAATACTATGTACAAAGGCAAACAGCACAACATATTCAGAGAATTACAAACAGTCTGTTTCTAGTCCTTGAAAAATCAAAGGAGTACTACAGATTTTACAGACATAAAAAAGATTTCAAGATTATATTAAGAACAATTGTACACCAACGAATTAGATAACCTAGATGAAATGGACAAATTCTACAATGACAGAATGACACAAACTACCAAAACTCACTAGAAAAGAAATAGAAAACCTGAATAAAGCACAAGCAATCAAAGAAAAAAAAATACATAAACGGGACTTGATTAAAATTTAAAAACTTTTGTGCTTCCAGGAGAGGCAACCCACATAATGAGAGGAAATATAGTGGTGCTGCTTTGGATATAACTCCAAAGTCTGTGCTCTCCACCAATTTTAACACTGTTCCTCTCTGCTTACAAGTATTCCTCATGTCAAATGTGCTCCCATTTGCTAATATCGCTGGACTAGGGCACTCACAATATCTTTCATTCTGTGTATCCCATTTCGTTCTTACTGGGATTCTAAATTTAACCTCAACCTGAAAGGAAAGATTCACCATGAGGCTGACTTCTAAATCCTGAAGTCAGCCAATCTAATAAGCTGGAGCTTTTAAAGAACAAGAATATCAGATAAAGGGAGCTGTATATTTCCCAATGAGTTTATCTTCAAATATCTATGACAAATGGGATTTTGTCAAATTTATAAAAATTAGATCTATTCCTAACTATGTGCCAAGAATCAAGCGAGGTGTCCTAAGGGTTTCAGAAGTAAAAGGAAGGGTTCTTACTCTCAAAAAGTTTATCTTTTTGAGATACTAAGACTCTAATGTAAATGAGACAAGGCTTTTAAGTGGTATGATTATTAAAAAGTGATATGAGCTAGATATTTAGAATAATTGACCTTGGTTGTCTTTCCTACCCTTAATCTCTAGGAATATATGCAATAGAGAAGGCCGAGAATAAAACAAAACATTCTCCTTGGTTGTAGCAGACGGCCTCTAAGATGGCTCCCAATGATCCTTGCTCCCTGGTATTGACACCCTTGCACAGTCCCCTCCCACAATGAATAGGGCTGACCTGTGACACTAATAGGACACTGCAGAAATGACAGTGTGTGATTTCTGAGTCTGGGACATAAAAGACATTGTGGCTTCCACCTTTCTCTCTCTTAGTATACGCACGCTGTGGGAAGCCAGCTGTCATGTCACGAGGACACCCAAACAGCCCATGGAAGATCCCTGTGGTAAGGAACCAAGGCTGCTCCCCAACAGTTAGCATTCCTCTGTCAACCATGCAAGTGAGCCACCTTGGAATTGGAACCTCCAGCCCCAATCAAGACTTTGCCCATGGTCAATCTATTAACCACAGCCTCAAGAGAGACGAGAACCAGCCAGTTAAGCTGCTCTTGAATTCCTGACCCACAGAAACTATGAGATGATAAATGTTGTTGGTTGTTGAAAAAAAAAATCAAGCATGTACCAGCAGATGAGGATGAACAGGCATGCCAGGGCCAGATCACAGAGAGCCTTCAGGCTTAGATTTTTACCCTGATAACAAAGATTTTAAAAATTGTGCTCCACAATGACCCCTAAATGAAACTGGATAGGGGAAGGGAAAGCGTCCTTAATAGGTTGTGCTCAACTCTTCCCCAAACAGAGCAGCTTACTGCTTACTTACACTTCTGGGTAAGAATGTTATTTGAAGAAAGGATTCATTGTCTAAAAATATTTGAAAGGCACGGCTGTAGGTCATGAAGACTCCCTGAAAGATTTGAAAAAGATTGACATAATGTGCATTTGAGATCATTCAGGCAGTAGATAATAGACTAAAGGAGAGTCAAACTAGAGGCAAAAAGACCAGGAAAGAGGCCACTTCAACAGCCCAAGCAAGGGATGCTGGGTACTGGAATGATGGCAGTGTAGCAGGGTGAACATGAAGAGGTAGCCACAAGAGAGATTAGAAGGTAGAACTGATAGTACATGGTAAATGACTGGATGTGTAAAAGGAGTGGTGGGGGTAGCGATGGATGAGACAAAGAGAAGACTGGCTCCAGATTTCTGCTTCGGGCCACTGCATGAATGGTGGTGTCACCTGGTAGGAGGAGGAAAAAGAAGGAATTGCGTTTGGCTGATAGCTACAGAGACCTGGCTACAGTGGCTTCAGCATGAGTCTGTTCTCATATAAATGAAGTCTACAGGAAGATGGCTCCCGGCAATGGTTGAGACCTAAGGAAAGCATGGCAAAAGCTCTACAGTTCTTGTGGCCTTTCTTTCCTAGTCCCAGGATGGCTGCTGCTACTCTAATCATCAAGTCCCTTTTCCAAAAAGCAGAAAGAAATAAGAAGAGCAAAAAGGGCTTTCCTTGGAAGCCCTGCTCAACAATTTCTACTTCCATCCCTTTTATTTGGCAAAAGTTAAGGCACATTCAGAATCTAAGGGTTTTTTTTGGGGGGGGAGGGCTGAAATATGTGCCTTAACTTTATAGACACTAGTATAAAGGCAGGTATAAAAGAAGAGTGTTGGAGTGGTGCTGAGTGAAACAATTTATGGTATTTTCCACATTAGAGAAATGATGAGTTTGGCCTTAGTCATGTTGGATCTGAGGTAGAACATCAGGTGAAGAAGGTAGAGTAGGCAGTTAGATATACAGTTCTGGGCACAGGAGAGAAATGTAGACAGATCTAGATTTTGTGAGTCATCATCATATAAGTGTAACAGTGTAACTGATGCTATGAAACATGGTGAGAATGTCCAAGGACAGTATAAAGAGAAAGGAGATAAAATCGAGAGCCCTGGAGAATACCAACATTTAAGGGACAGGCAGAAGAATCCAGAAGACTGAGAAAGCCAAAGAAGCAGAAGGCGAATCACAAGAGCAGCTTCACAGAAATCAAGGAAGGAGACAGCATGGAGCTTGGCTTGGGCAACAAAGATATGTTCGGAGAGATATGTAAAGAGACAAAAGCACCCACTGGATTTGCAACTGGGGAAGTGGTGGATGAGGGAATGAAGGGACTAGGGGACAACAGTGTCAAGGAGAGGTACTTTAGAATGGAGAGACTTGGAAGTGGAAAGTGATGGGCTCCAGGGCCTGCGTTGGGCAAACTGCCATATTTTCAGTAATTGGTGCTCCCATACTCAGCTGGCTATAAAAGAGGAAAGGTAAGAGCAGACTGAAATTCTGCTCTGGACAGCAGCGGGGCACACTAGAGCGGGACTTTGGAAAGACTGTTCATGATTACAGCAGGAACTTTGTCGAGCAAAGGGAGAGTTTACCATACCTATTTGTTGGTAAACTCTAAGAACTCTGTGGCCCAACGGAGTTACCAGGCCAGAGGCCACTGGCCTGGGCAATACCCAGCACTAAGGCTGAGCCTGATACTGGCTCACTTCCAGGATCAGGCTGACTGGATTGCAGGGTTTCTAGTTCAGCCTAGGACCACACAGTTTTCTGGCCTAGAGCTGAGGGCATCAGCCCTATAGTGCCATAGGAGTCTATGGCTCAGTTGTGTTGCTACTTTCTGTATTAACAGAATAATATATATTCATTTAATATATAATATGTAATACTATTATATATAATTATATACAATTATATTATGTAACATATGTAATAACGTATATTACATAAGTATATAATAACTATTTTACTGATCCTAAAGATAGTCAGTTAATACTTTTTAAAATCAGAAACCTAAATAAAGATTAATGGAGTGGGGAAAAGCACGAGAGGATGGATTAGCTTTAGATAGGGTATGTTATTTATAAACCCTCCTATGTACCATAATACAGTGTTTCCCAGATGTTTCCTGGAGGGCCTTCCTTTGTGAATTTCATAAGTTTTGTTTTATTTTATTTTATTTTTTAATTAAAATTATTGGGGCGACATTGGTTAATGAAATCATATAGGTTTCGTGGCCAAGATGTGGAAACAACTGAAGCATCCTTCGATAGATGATTGGATAAAGAAGATGTGATACATATATACAGTGGAATATTATTCAGCCATAAGAAGAGATGAAATACTGCCATCTGTGACAACACGGATGGATCTTGAGATTATCATGCTAAGCTAAATAAGTCAGACAGAAAAGTTGAGAATCATAAGTTTTATTATAATCTACGCCCCTGGTTGTATCTTGTATATAACCAATTTTCCCTTCAACAGCACAATTCAAGGAGCTCGGTTGTCACAATTATGCTTGATGCCTGATTGGCTACTGAATGTCACCTAGCAGTGGTTTCTAACTCTTTTCATTAGTGTGGGCTTATAACAGTTTAGTTGCTTAAATGAACATAGCTAGATGCCAGCCTGTGGCTTTTTCTGGTTCAACACTAAAATGTAAGCTCCCTAAGTGCAGGGTTCTTTGCTTGTTTACTAGTTGTACTGGGTTGGATAGTGCCCCTTAAAAAGTCATGTCTAGGAACCTCAGAATGTGACCTTATTTGAAAAGAAGGTTGTTGCAGATATAATTAGTTAAGAGGAAGTCATGAAGATGAGTAGAATGTGCCCTTAATCCAGTGTGAACGGTGTCCTTATAAGAAGAAACACAGGGACAGAGACACAGGGAGAAGGGCCATATGATGATACAGACAGGGATGACAGTGATGCATCTATAAGCCAAGAAACACCAAGGATCGCCGGCAAACACAAGAAGCTAGGAAGAGGCGAGGAAGGATCCTCCCCTAGAACCCTGAGAGAGAGCATGGCCCTGATGACACCTTAATTTCAGACTTCTAGCCATTAGAACTGTGAGAATTAATTTCTGTTGTTTTAAGCCACCCAGTTTAGCAAACTAATATATGAAAATATCCTAGACTTCTAGGATAGTACCTGGCACATGGTAGGAGACCAATAAATGAATTATTTGCTGAATGAATGGATGGACTTTTTAATTCCCTAGGACTGACCTCTCTGTGGCATTTGGCACCTGTTGATGACCACCCTACACACACACACACACACACACACACACACACACACACATTTTTGAAACTCTGTCCTCCCCTGTTTTCCACATCACCAGATTCTCCTTGTTCTGTTCCAATTATTTTGTCTGCTTTTTAAATGTCAGTGTTTCCTAGGATTGTATCTTCAGTCCTCTCTTCTTCTTGTTCCACACTATTTCTATGTAATTTTATCCCTTCCCAGGTTTCAATTCCTCCTGTATACCGACAACTTCCAAATCTAAAAGGAGATGGCTATTGCCTACAGATAAGGTCTAAACTCATCCACTTCAGCATTTTACTCTGTCCTGACAACGGGAGGCATGAACCTCTTCTGGTAGAGTGATCTGGGCTCTAGCCACAAAGGACTACTCAAATTTCCCAAGTGCGCCAACCATATTGATGCTTTGAACGCTTCCATATTCCCTCCATCTTGAATGTTCCTCATTCCCCTCATCTACTTTGTGAAATCCTAGTTCAAGGCCAAACACAAATGCCACCATCTATTTCTACCTTTCTTGATCACCACTTGGGCAAGACAGAGCCACTTCTATCTGTTTTGTTCACCACACCAGCATTTTATCGTATTACAATAGGTAGCCTATTCCCTTACTGAGCCATGAGCTCTTTAATGGTAAGGACAGTGTTTTATTCATCTTCACAGATAGAGTGCCTAGCTCAGTGCCTGCACATAGTGTGTTCCAGGAGATTATAAATTGAATGAACTCATTCTACTTGGAAAAAAAAACAAACTACAGCTCTCAAATGGCAATAGAATTACTTCTAAGCACCATTTCAACAAAACACAATAAAAGATACAGTTGCCTTAACAGAAGTTAGAGATTTACCACAAACATCAAAGTATTGGGCCCAAATGGATGACTTGTCCCACACTAGATGGGGTGTTTATAGTCCTCAGAACTAGACCCCAACACAATAAGGAAATCCTAGACAGAAAACATCAACCTCTTACCTGCGAAGATACATAGTTTCCTCATCTTCTGTGTTACAAAACTTGTGAGCGTGTTTAGCAGCATCAATCACCCGGGACCGATCCCGGGGCCTCATGGGCAATTTCTCCAACTGACAGTCTGAAGGAATGGAGAAATATTTGGTTACTAGAGCCACTGAAAAATACCTTGAGGCAATCAGAAGTTTTCAGTGGTGCTGCTAACTATGCAATTTTTACTATAATTACTTTGCTTATTGAGGCCTATTATTGAATTTTCCAACTAAAAATGACTTGGTGGCAGAAGACCTGAATTTTAGTCCCAGCTCTGTTACTACCCTGGTGGTTTTTGGCAGATCACTTTCTCATTTTGGAGTCTTTTTCTTTATTTGAAAAAATGAATAGATTATATTATCCCAAAACTCCTTCTCAGCACTGCAATTCAAGTTTTCTATGAGGATTTCTGTGATTCAAGTGTCATGGTACACTTGGTTTGTGTTATAATATAATGCATTAGAATCAGAAGAGACAATCAAGTGTCCTCCAATGCCTTTGAGGAAAGCATTGGGAAAAGTGGATAAATGCTTAGAAAAGGAGAGAGAGGGGAAGTGGTATCCTATATATAGTATGCAAATGGCCCACCCCAGTTAGAGGAGTTTTAATCTGAAAACGATGAAAACATACAGGAAAAAAAATAGGTACAATTATGAAGCACATGGAAAATTGATATAATGCAAATTAAGTACCTAAAAGGTCACAGAGAAGTCAAGTGATCAGACTATTTCAAGATTAATGGAGGAGGTGGAGAAGCAGTTTGCATGTTAGCTCATTATTCTTCACATCAACTTGTTGGAGTAGACATTTAGTATTCCTATTTTTAGATGAGGGAATCGAGGCTTAGAAAGGATAAGAGAGCTTCTGCACATTGAATAAGCAGAACAAGAATTCAGACCCAACCCTAGGTAATCAAAAGAAAATCTGTTTATTCAATAAATACACTAGTGTCCTGGCACAGTTCCAACATTGTGCTGGAGATTCAGCAAAGAATAAAGCAAAGTCCCTGACCTGATGACCTGAGCAAGGGATCATGAAGTCTAGCAGTGGAAGCAGAAAACTTTAAAATAAGAATTATGTACTATGATCTTGGATAATGATAAGTACTAATAAAAAATTTAGGCAGGATATTAAGAGGAGGAACAGTGATCTCAGATAGTGATAAGTGCTACCAAGAAAAATCAGGCAGGGTAGGAGGACAAAGAGTGACAGGGGTGCTATTTTACATAAGATAGCCAGGGAAGAGTTTTCTAAGGAAGTACCATTCCAGCAGAGACCTGAATAAAGTAAGGAAGCATTGGGGGAAGAATGGTCGAGGCAGAGGAAATACCATTTCCTCTGCAGGAACATTTTAACATGATGGAGAAATATCAAGAAGGCCACTGTGGCTGGAGTGCAGTGAGCAAAGGGAAGGGTGTTAGGAGATGAAGTCTGAAAGGTAGCTGGGGGTCTGGTCATGCATGGTCTTGGTATGGACTTTGGTTTTATTCTCGATGTCATAGGAAAACACCGCTTTGAAACAGGGCTCTGGCTGCTGTGTGGAAAATAGACCACTGAGGACAAAGAGTGGAGAACAAGAGATTATTGTGGCAATTCAGGTGAGGCATGATGGTGTCTTGGACTTGAGTGGTAGAAATGGAGGTGGTAAGAAGTATGCAGATTCTGGATAGATTTTCAAGGAAGCAACTGCAGAATTTGTTGATGGACTGGATGAATGTAAGGTATGAGAAAGAGAGGTTTCGAGAACGATTCTGAGATACTGGGTAAATAGTGGTACGACTGACTGCAATAGGGAAGACTGAGGGGAACAGTGGAGAGCAGGGAGCAGGGAATCATGAAGTCAATTTGAACATGAGCTCCTTGAGAGGCCCATTAGACTTCCAAGTGGAGACATGGAATAGACAGCTGGAGTATGAGAAGAGGTGCAGGTTAAAGATGGGGAGTCATTAGTATACAGATGGTATTTAGGGCTTGGGAATGGTTTAGATCACTTAGGAAGTGAGTACAATCTGAGAACAGGTGAGAGGACTGAGCCCTAGGGCCTTGCAATGCCTAAAAGTTTGAGACAGAAAAAGGAACCAGACACTGAGAAGGGGCAAAATCGAGGTAGGAGGAATATCAGGAGAGTGTGGAGTCTTGGAAGCAAATGAAGAATGTTTCAAGAAGGATGGAGTGTTCATCTCTGTCAAATGCCACTGAGATGAAGACTAAAATGAGCATTGATTGACCACTGGAACTGGTAATATGTTCAGTTATTAACCTTGACACATGTGGTTTAGATGGTGAGGCAGGAAAGAAAGCCTGTCTGAAGCGAGGTCAAGAGGGAATGGGAAGGGAGGATACACAAACAGCTAACGTGGGCAACCCTTTCTAGAAGTTTTGCTATTAAAAAAGCAAAGAAATAAGATTATAACTGGAGGAGAATGTAGAGTCAAGGAAGAGTCTTTAAGATAAGAGCTATTACTGTATCTGGAAGTTGAGTGGGTGGAGGGGAAGATACTGTATTTTTATTTTTTCTGAAGGAGGAATTCAGTTGTGAGGGAGGTCTGGATACAAAGTTACA